AAAGTTTGGGCTGGGTGTGGCTCTATGGTAGAGCACTTATGCAGTATATGCAAAGCTCTGAATTTGATCCTGGCACTGAAAGAAATGTAAGTTTATAAAACACCTGAGATATGCCTACCTGACACACTGTAAGCATTTAAATGACGGTAGCTACTCCCATTAGCATTACTATGGTTCAAGTCACTCTAATACCGTGCTTTTGACACGTGGGTCTCTGAAAAAAAAAAAAATCTCTTTGCCTCCAAAATTCTGCTTAGCCACAGAAACAAAAAGCAGAGGGATAAAAAGAACAGGTAAGGGATTGGAAATGAATCAGAAGAAAGGTAAGAGCAGCCTGTGTAGATTTATCCAAAGGAGACCTGTGGCCCATATACATGGACATGCATTAAAGATTGTGTAATTTTCATGAAAGGAAAGAGTCACAAGACCTAACCGTGCAAAAGTTGTACATCAGTCCAAGAAGTCTTGACACAGCACAGCTGGAGAGTGGTAATAATACACAAAGACAGTCATGAGCTAGTGAGTAGAAAGATGATAAAACCAAAATGACTACCTCTAATTGGCACTCCTGACATAATTTACATTTTCTACATCTTTAATGTTTAAACTCTCTCTAGTGAATATGTATTATTTGTGTAATCAGACTGACTCTTTTAACCACTGACCCATGTGAAGAGAAAGAAACAACATGAGCCTCGGGAAAGGCCGAAGAGTGGCCTGTTATTTGCTGTTGCTGCTCTGTGAGCTGTGAGGTTGACAGCTCCGGGGAGAGAGACATCAGCCTTCCATCTTATCCAGGATTCATCTACATATGTCCAAAGTGTGTCACTTGTAGAAGTTCTAAATCAGTACCCACAAAGAGAGATCTCACGCCCAGTCTCCTGACTTACCCCAAATAGGTTTCTAGGTTCCCTAAGTAGCATTATAAATACTTAATTATATCTGGAGCTGTTCAACTAACCCAAATAATGCTCTCATTCCATGTCCCCATTTGATTTCTTGAAATATAAGTAGTGGCCTCCTTGATTCAAGATGATTTTAACAGCACTGCTCCAGCCTGGTGATAAAAAAGGGAAACTTGAGGCTTATCTAAGGTCCCTCTGGAGAAGCAAAAATAAGAACCTAAATGCTCTGGTCATAGCAGGCAACCAGGGAGCAGGAGCAGGACATTCTGTACCCACCCTGGTTCTGAGAGGTCCATTCACCTCTGGAACATAACACAGGAACTGGGACAGGAAAGGGGCCCTGGATGGTGTTGTTTACAGTCGTGAAGACTAGCAGCGGAGACTTCTGGGTTCCACAGTCTTTCCACTACAATTGTTCCTCCAGAATTTGCCTCGGCCGTTCCCTTTTAAAAGGGGCTTTGTCTTCCTCGACATCACGACATCAAGGGCTCACATCTTTGGCCTTTTAGCCAGACATTCTGTGGGGTGGTCCCAGTGAAAGAAAGTGGGGTGGGGAGAAAGGACACAAAGAGAAGGGCGAGCATGAGGGCACGAGCCAAGGCAGAGAGGGCAGCAAACATTCTCTTCTCTCAGATGGAAAGTCTTAAGTGAGAAAAAAGGGCCTGCTTGCATGTGAAGACTTACACATCTCCCAACTGTCCTATGTCAGCGAACTGAGCCATTTGTTTATCCAGTTTCCAAAATATTTAAAGCTGATGTCCTCCAAATATGACTATCCAAATCAGAATATCACTGGAAATGTTCTCTGCTGTGAAGACAAAAGTTCCTCAAGATGGGGATATAGCTCATTTGCCTACAATTCACAAACCCTTGGGTTCATTTCCTAGCACCACAAGTAAGCAAAAAATAAAAACTTTGAAAAGTTCCTTTCTTGATTTCCACATGATGCTACCCTTGAACTCTTCCTTCCCACTCTCAGCCAGGAAGTTACTCAGCAAAGCAAACTCATCACCCAGGCAGAAACAGGATGAAAGAAGGGTTAACCGAAAGCCTCCAGACACTCTCAGGCTTGACTGTGAGTGAGATTCGCAGAACCAGCAAATCATCCGGGGTGCAAAGGTAAAACTGTGCCGGGTCCCTACACCCAGGCAACGACATCACAGCACTCCCAGTAGCTAGGTGCACAAGGCTAAAAGTCCCAGGGGAAAAGGTGCATATAGCTGGGGGAGTAGGAAAGATAGGGAGGGATATGTGAGAACTGTAGAGAAATGACAAAAGATGTCCTCCCAGGTAACTGTAGAACATTCAAAATCTGCGACTAACCCATAGGACCGTATGCTATAAATGAAAGAATCTTGTGGTGTGTGAATTATAGCGTAATAAAGCCATTTTTTGAATCCTTAAGAACTCCCGAGGTCTCTGCTCCTCACTGCCTCCCACCACACTGCCCCACACACCAAGAATCAGCATCAGTCTGACTGAGATGGCACACACAGACGTGACTCAGCCTTCTTCTTTAGCTGACATTTGGGGAGCTCCTCATGTAAAATAACCATCAAAAAGAAAAACTAACATTGTTTTTAAGAGACTCAGGTTTAGGCTTATGGAAGATAACCCAACATTTAGAATGGAGACTTGTAAAAATAAGCATGCTTTATGTATTCTTTAGCTACTGAACCCTTCCTGCATGAATTCAGGCTGTTTCCAGCACAAACCCCTAAGCCCTGTGCTGCTATGATGGTATGAAGTGATGCTGCCCAAACGAGGTGGGGGGTGGAGAAATAAGCCTGAGTCATCTCCAAGAAGATATCAAGGCCAAAAGCGATCAGTTCCACCCCAATTTCCCATGCAAGAGAGCACAGTGTCCCTGCTGGGGAACTTATTACAAGTGTGCTGGCTTCATAAAAAAGAAAAGGGATTTCTTTCCAAAGAGAACCATGTTGCTGCTCTGAGGAGACTAGCCACATGGTTAACTCGCTGACCTTGCACACTACTCAGGCAGCTTTAGACAGAGAGCCAGCAGACAGCCTCACAGCCTGGCTGGCAGATGCAAATCCTGGGCAAACAGCTGGGAGCTGTGGCCTGAAGATGCCAAGGGAGCATCCCCAGTGCCTGCCTGGCCTCCATCTCCCACAAAGCCATATTGTCCACAGCAGGACTCATGTAGATGATGAGCTGCTGGATAAGCTGCCAGAGTAGGGTCTGTGTCAAACATCTTTGAAAGACTCAGACATGGAAGCAGGAAAGCCTTGTCTCTGGAAGAACAGCATGCAGATTCCCTATGCAAACAGCAGAGCATAAGCAACACTGATGTCCTCACAGCAACATCTCAGGTTCTCCCCGGCAGCAGCTGCTGTCTTCTCCACCCAGCCCTGCAGAGATCAGAACAGAGATAGGCACCGGTGGAGGAAGGAACCTCTGCCAGAAATGAGTGGCCTGGGGGTGTTGCAGTGGCAGGATGGGTAGATCTGCTCTAGCTGGGTTTGGGGTACCTCATCCTCCAGCTGACAGTGAGTCCCTCCCCAGACACCATGCCTCTGCAACAGCTCTGCCATCTCACTATGCTTCCTGAATGGTTTTAAAGAAAAAAAAAAAATGTGCAACATAATTACAGGCTCTGACCCCAACTGCCTTTAACCCTGACAAGAGCAGTGAGGACTCACTGTGGGAAAACTGCCCTATGATTGCTCAGGAATATAAAGTTTCCTTTCAGATGCTCTCCACCCCCACCCCCATCCCCAGCGCCCAGGGGGTCCCAGCAGGCTCCCAGGCAGAGCTCAGGAACAACTGAATCCCAGGCATAAAGCCACATTGGCTGAGATGTCATGATGTCATGACTGCTGAAACATTTACAGCTTTGGAACACTCCATCATCCTGTGACCTGCATGAGTGTTGACTGACACCTTGCAGATAACTGAGCTGACCCAAGGTAAGGCTGGGCAACTAACTCAGCAGGGCACATGAAGGGGAAAGATGACGTAAGACAAACAAGGTTTACACAGAATGTCTTCTGGCCTATTTTGACTTCCTGTGTGGTCACACACACACACACACACACACACACACACACACACACACACGCAAATCACTAGGGAGAAAGAAGAGTAAGTTATGGGCCACACAGCTTTCCAGGCCTGCCCCTGAGCTCGGGCATCAGAATCTCCTCGGTTGAAAGCCTAGGAATTTATAGTGGGAGAACATCTTACAGCATTTTCTCTTTTAAGAATGCATGCAGAGCCAGGAAGTGTCACACCCCTTTAATCCCAGCACTCAGGAGACAGAGACAGGTGGATCTCTGAGTCTGAGGCCAGCTTGTTCTACATAGTGAGTTCCAAGACAGCCAGGGCTACACAGAGAAATCTTGTCTCAAAAAAAAAAAAGAAATCCATTCAGAAGGCCAGGCATGGTGGTGCATACCTTTAATCCCAGTGCTTGAGAGGCACAGGATCACTGTGAGCTAGAAGACAGCCTGGTCTACATAGTGAGTTCCAGGACAGCCAGAGATACAGAGTGATACCCTGTCTCAAAAAAGCAACAACAATGCATGCAGAAAAACCCACTAAGGTAGCTCTGGGCAAATTACAGCAGGTGCAACTGAGGATGGCTGCAGTCACGGCTAGCTGAATTGGTACAACCTTGTAGCTGGGACAATGGTGTGCTTATGTCACTAAGCTCAACATCTCCAATTCTCACCTATTTTTCTAGTAATACCATTCCATTGATAGTAATCACCACCTTGTTGTTAAGTTGCTTTCTTCAGTGTCTCTCCCAAAGGTCAAATCTAAGGGCCTCTGGGAATGTTCTCATCTAGAATGTCCACCAAACCTATGACTTCTTTGCTATAAACTTCCCTTCTGAAATAAATGCAGTTATGAATAGACATTCTCAAAGTTAATAAAGAAGGGTGAAGGTGAGGCAAAATTAGCAGAGGTGACCTATAAATGGCAGATAGGAAACAAGGGCCTCTTTGGACCTGATAAGCCTTCACTAGCCCTTCCCAAAGGTCTCCGTTCCCTCCCCCAATACCCCTCCAAACTGCTAGCACTCACCCTTGGTGCCATGGACTGCTTGTGATTCCCCTGTTTCCTTTCTAGATGCTGAGCACCCAGAAGAGGGACAGTGCCTGATCCATTCTGTCAAGTTCCACCAATGTAGCCTTCTACACCAACAGGAGCTGTTCCAAGGACCAGAGCATAGACCAGAGAGCACATGTGGCAGAATCCTGTTCATAAGAAAGAAATGCTAACCTCTGCAGGAAAAGCCACCACTGGGAGATGGCACACAAAACATCCCGCCTCCTGCCTACCAGGAATTCTGGTGCCCACAGCAACTAGATAAGACATGCCCACTAGCTCAAAGTCACTACCTCCAATCACCAAGTTTTGCAGGAGATTTAGCACCTGCTAACCCTCCTGAAGAGAGGATAAACTACACCAGATGAAAACTCAACAATACCACAGTAGAACATAAGACTAGGCCTTGTATTTGGATGACTCTAAGATATAGCTGTGTCAAGTTCTATGGAATAATTTTCACTATAGTTTTTAAATACAAAGAAACCAAGGAGAAGGAAAAGAAGAAAAATTCTGTCTTATATTACAGAAGCTATTCTAAATAGTAAAGAAGCTGATTTTCTACTCTAAAAATCATGGCTCAGGAAACTCGGCTCACTCGGAATTTCTTGGACTAATTCCCTGAGAATATCTATCACAGTGGAAAATAGACACAGTGCTTTTTGCTGAGCAGTTCCAGAGTAGGAACTCATCCTACAAATTTGATCACTTCTGTGTCCCATGCCAGAGGTATGTACCTCGAAGCATATGTGTGTTTGCATATATGTGTATGTGTGTGCATAAACATGTTTGAATACATGTGCATATATGTATTATACATATTTCTATACATGCATATGTATGTGCATATGTTTGTATACATATGTACATGTGTCTATGTCTATGTTATGTATTTATATACATATCTCTGTGTGCGTGTATAGAGAGATAGATAGATAGATATAGACAAAGTTTCAAGTAGTCCAGGGGCTAGCCAGGAACTCTCTATATAGTTTGGAATAATTTTGAACTTCTGGTCATCCTGCCTGTACCCTCTCCTCTCAATGCTGTGATCATAGACATATGCCAGGGTGTCCAGTTTTATGCATAACTAAGGATCAAACTCAGAGTTTCATGCATGCTAGGCAAGCACTCTATATCTCCAGCCCAAAGACTGGAAATAATCTAACTGTGTAATAGGGGAATGGTTAAAAAAGCTGTGTTTCATCCATATGATGGAATGTATACACAAGTGCAGAACATGTAAAATACAACACAATTAGGCACATAAAATACATATGGAATCATTCTAAATGCATAAGTGTATGTAAGTGTAAAAATGAACACACACTTATATATTTGCTGACACATTCATAAATTTCATTAAAAAAAATATCCAAGACACTGGTGAAATGCTGCTTTCAGTAGAACTGGAGATCAAGACACAGGGGTTGGAGGAATACTCCAAGTCCATTTTTGTCTTTTGATCTGTGTGCCATTTATAGGTGTTAACTATTTAGATCAGCTCTGACAAAGAAGCAGATATGAACAAAAGTAAACACACCACCTTAATTTCATTTTCCTTGGTCCACAGCTGACCCACAAGTCTGGCAATGAGATACACAGTCAGAACTCTGTTGCAGTTTGGGCCTTATCTGCTCAACAGTGACCTTGACGTGGAAACACAGCCAAAGTTCAACTCGGCTGCCTGGAAATCAAGCTAAAGTCGCACGGGATATGCCAGTTCATATTTTCAAAGTGTTCCAATGAGCCTGCAAGTAAACGTAAAAGTCAATATGATAGCAAGATCCAGTGAGCTTTGAAACCTACCTGTGGTATCTTTACAAACCATACAAAACAGTTTATTTTGGCTTTTCCTGTGTGGCAGCAGCAGGAGTCAAAGCGGGGCTACTGATCTGGCCCAGAGACGCTAGCTAGCTAATCAGGTTTGATCCAGAATCCTCAAGCCCCAAACCTTTGTCCATCTGGCCAAGAAAACACACACACATGCACATGAACACCCCACCCAACCCCAGGAATCTCCTCTTTCTAAATATAGCAGGCAACTGCCCAGTCTCCAAACTCACACTCCACAGCATTCTGTGCCTTCCAACCAAGGTGAAATGAGCCAGACATAAACACGCTGTGACAGCTTCTGGCCCCCACTGCCAAGCTGTTTTCCTTACTATTTCCTCTCTTCCTCCACCCTGGGTTTCTACAAAATGTGGAAACCCAGTGACTCTGACTTATAAAAGATTCCTGTAGCTACAAATGCTGTTAGTCCTCATCCTAACAAAGAAGCTTTTCCTGCTAGGCACCCCCAATTTGAGTTTGGAAGAGTCTTTTCAATGTGGACAAAGTAAGGTTCATCTCCTATTGTACTTGCAAGAATCTGCAGCTCAGAAAAGATACTAGTCCAAGGCTAGTAAGGATGCCTGCATTTCCCACCCTACCATCATACACACATGGTGGGGAGGGGGCCTCATTCTTTCAGAATCAGTATCCGTGCCGCAAAGAGAGCCTATTTAGAATGTTTCCAATTAAACTAAAAAGTTAAACTTCAGAAACATATTCTAGCACATATTCGCAAACACCAAACCAATTAGCTGCAAGGAAATAAAGGACCTAAATAAAGGGCTGTTGCAAAACCTATAGAAACTGGAGTCTGCAACAGATCCAGAATCTTCCAAATTCTGGGACCCACACACAAAGGCTGACTTGGGAATGATCACTGCAGCACCTTCTCTAACTGAAATACTGAGATAATCCAATAATCCAGCCCTCTTAAATAATCAAAGGGAATGCAGTGTATACATGTACTGACCTAGAAAAAGTAAGATAAGGGAGTCACAGGGAAAGTAAAACAAAAAGTGTATATAGTAAAATCTCTATATATAAAGTTCATAATGGCATCCCTCCTTTGGCTAATTTTTGGAAATGCCATGGCCTTGACAGGATAATACAGTCCCCTTCAGGAGTTGTTTTCTCCAACAGCTTCTAATTTTTGTCAGCTCTGAGGGGTTTGGTCATTGTCTAAAGACTAAAATGCCAACCTATGAGATCCACCATGAGAGATGCTGGTTTACTACTCAGAGCAGAGGGCTGAACCATTGCCTCCTAAAAACCAACCTCCTAAGTCCGTAGTCCTGAAATACATGTGAGACTACTGCAAATGGAAGTAAAGAGTCCCCAAAAGAAGACAAATGGACGAAATGAATTAAAGATTGTTCACTTCATCATCCAAAGTTTTATAGGACAAAGCAGAGGATAGTATATGTGTGAATACACAGTCCAACAAATAAGGCGCACCAATAGCCAGTAAATGCATGAACAGATGCTCACCATCATTAGTCATCAGTGAAATCCAAGTTAGAACCAAATGAGACACATTACTCCCGTAGTTTGCTACAATCAAAACGAGATCATAAGAAGTGTTGGTGAGGCTCACACACTGCTGATGTACAATATGGCGCTTCTACTGTGGAAAATGACTTGTCAGCCCTTTAAAAGTTAAACCTAAATTCCTTTAAACCTAGGTTTAAATCAAAATTTTTTATACGTTTTCCACAGAACTTAGCAACTCTATTTCTAGACTTGAAATTAGAAGTGAAAACATAAAGGTATGTATGTAAACATTCTTAGCAGCATCATTCAAAAAAGCTAACAACGCAAACTCAGCTCAGAGTCTACAAAACACCATACTCTGCAGCAATAAAAAGGAACAAAATACCAATAAAAGCTAAAACACAGATGAGCCTCAGATCAACACGCCAAGTGAAAGAGCCGGATAGAAAGGCCTACATAATCTATGACTGAGCTCCAATTCTCAGAATCAACAACTCTAGACACGGGGAAAGGGGATTAGTGGCTGTGTACGGCTTGAGAAGAGAAGGCACCTGCAAACAGACACGAGGAAGCTTTCGGGGTGACTATTCTCATCAACTGGATTCTGGCAATTGTTCCCCAAGCCACTTAAAACAGATAAATTCTATGTCGAGTAAATTTATTAATAGTGGAGTTAAAAAAAATTAAAAAAGAAAACTCCCCAAAGCATGCTGACCTGAAACAAACGGCTACTCTGAAAGGAATACATAGAAACATGATGGAATGTTCTTGGGAGACACTTGATAAATTGGCATGTCAAATGCAAGTGTTCCTGGTCATTCTGCAGGGAAAGAAAAAAAGAGGAGAGGAAAAATCATTTCCATGATCTCACAGGAGAAAGAATAGTGCTTCTTTGTAGTGGCTAATAATTAAAATTTAACAATAAGACACTCAGCTATAAAAAGAAATCAAGCTCTAGTATCTAACATAAATGAACCCTGAAAACATCATGCTACATAAAATAAGCCACATATAAATGATAACTGTTGTATGATTCTAGAAATGCCTAGAACAATCAAACAAAGACTGACAGGGTCTAGGGTGGACCGGAGTGCGAAGTCATTGTTTTATGAGTACAATTTCAGCTTGGGATGCTGGAAAATCTCTGGAACTGGACAGCACAGACAGCCAGACAGCACTGTGAATGTACTCAGTCCCACTAAAGTGTATGAAATTATTTAAAAGCTGTTAAAGTGGTTAAAATTTTGTGCCATGTACATTTTATCATAATAATTTTAAAAGCCTGTTTTGAAAAATGAGCAAAAAAAAAAATCTGAACAGACATCCCACCAAAGAAGATACACAAATGGTAAATAAGCATGTGAAAAATACTCAGTGGAATAAATCATCAGAAAATTGGAGGGGAAAGTTGAGGAATGAGTATGACTTCCTCCACCTATTATAAGGTCAAAATGAAAACACCACCACATACAGAGCAACAGGACCTTTCACTCTTTGCTGGAGGGAATGCAAAATGCTACAGTCACTTTGGAAAACAGTTTGGTTATTTCTTACAGTATCATACAATCCAACAATCACATGGTCTTTACCCAAATGAACTGAAAACTCATGTCTATGCACAAAATAATTATGCTGACTTCATTCATAACTGTCCAGACTTGAAAGCAATCAAGATGTCCTTCAACAGGTAAAAGAAGAAACAAATTTTGGTACTCAGCAATGAAACCCATTAGTTACCAAGACATGGAAGAACCTTGAATGCACATTACTAGTGACACAAGGCAATCTAAAAAGGCTACAGACTGGTTCTAGCTATCTGACAGTATGGGGGGAAAAAAGGCAAAAGTAGGAAGACAATGGAAAAACCCATAGTTGGTAGAAGAAAAAAAGATATGCTAGAACGTAGAGGGTTTTTAAGACAGTGAAACTATGACATTTAACGGGTACATTGTCAATATCCATCACCGTGCACCACCAAGAAACTTTCATTAATATTCTACCAGGGACCAGGGGTATGGAGTGTGCACTCACATGTGCAGGGCCCTAGCTTCAACCTCCAACACCAGTGAGCTAAAATAAAATCAATATAGGTTAATCAGCAGTAACAGATGTGCCAGGATTCTGAAAGATGTTTTAAAAAAAAGACACAGGGAGAAACCAGAAGGTACAGACATTCTAAGCTATAATGAGAACCCTGTATAAGTCTACTCCAATGTTCTGTAAACCTCAAGCCAATCTAAAGAGTAAAGTCTATTCCTTATTTTAACAGTGGGAAGATGGTTCTAAGCCACAAGTAGAGGGCTGAAGATTAGAGATTATATGTAATTTATTTAATGCACTTCAAATAGAGAAACATGCAGAGATGTTTTTAGAGCCAGTGTTATATAAAAATTTTAAAAAAAAATCTTGTTTGGATTTAATTAGCTGCTGTTTATATTTGTATGAGTAATACTCCAAATGTCAGTATTGCAAATTACCACCACTTACAAATAATTAGGAAAGTCACTTTTTTCCCTTTTCTTCACAAGTTGCTAAAGTAAATCAAAGGAACTGGGAACAATTTTTTTTGCTACCTGGCTCCATATTTACTTGTTCCATTAAGGCTTTTTGTAACAAAATTACCGCTCAGCAAATCAACCTGGCATCGAACATCCCATGAGAGTTTATGCTATTCAAGAACAGCTTGTTCTTGGGGCTGAGAGAGAGGGTTCAGCAGGTAAGAGCTCTTGCTGCACAATCATGAGGATCCGAGTTCAGATCCCCAGCACCCACATAAAAAGCCAGTGTGGCCACATGTGAACCTATAAGCTCAAGAGCAGTAGAGGGCAGAGAAAGTCTGTCTAGTCTGGCCTAGTCAGCCAGTCTAGGCAAAATTGTGAACTCTGGGTTCAGTGAAAGACCTGAGTAAGTCAGAGTTGATAGAATTGGACACATGATATGCACCACATACATAGGAACAGAAAGAGAGACAGAGAGAGAGCCAGACAGACAGACAGAGACAGAGAGAGAGACAGGGACAGAGACAGAGAGAGACAGAGAGAGAGAGAGAGAGAGCTCATTCTCATTGTGGGGAAAAAACACCTATATTAAATGCTAAAGAAGTGGGAAAGGCAAAGAGGCTTTTTGGTTTATTGTTTTGTTTTATTTTTGCTTTTTCAAGACAGGGTTTATTTATGTAACAGTGCTGGCTGTCCTGAAACTCAATTTGTAGACCAAACTGGCCTCGAACTCACAGAGATCCGCCTGCCTCTGCCTCCCGAGTGCTGGTATTTAAGGCATGCGCCATCACCGCCCAGCAAGGTGAACAGCTTTTAAAGTATATATACTTAGTAATTATCTTACTGTTGTTTTAATGAATAAAGAAGCTGAATCATTCACTTTAACAATTCAGACCAAGAACAGGTTTTTGGTCTCCCCATTCAATGCTCTATTATCCAATTAAAAATGAATCACTGATAATCATTTAGTAGTTCCCAAAAAGAAAGTGATGCTTTACAAAGACAAGACAGAAAAAGCTACCCTCCTATTCTACCCTTCCAGCCTACAAGGCTCTTTAAGCCCATAAGGGTGAGTAAATTTCAGAGTACAAAATATTAGCTAGCTGTGGCTACTCAGAGCTGGAAATCTATAAAGCAATAGTATGATCTTCTCAATTACCCTAGCACCTGCTGCATGTTTCCCCTTCTAGAAGACGGATCTGTGAAAAGTCTGCATCTTCACTACCAGCATTTTTTTTTTTTTTAATTTTCCGGAGCTGAGGACCAAACCCAGGGCCTTGTGCTTGCTAGGCAAGCGTTCTACCACTGAGCTAAATCCCAAACCCCAACTACCAGCATTTTTATTGAACACACTCAAGGGTAATGTTCAGAGGAGGGCCAGCAGACCAATGCCAGGTTCAAAACTTGGTTACACAATTTCCTAGCTATGTGAATTTTGACAAGTTATCCCAGAAATGAGAAGCAGCACAGTGCAGCTAGCCCACTATATCTACAGATCTGGTTCCTATGTTTCCACCAACCAGTATGGAAAATATTTGAGGATGGGGTGGGGGGACCTGAATCTGTGCTCAACACGTGCAAACATTATGTTTGCATTCACATTATGTAATGTATTAGCAGCAATCTAGAGCTGCCTAAAGCATTCAGTTGGATATGTATAGGTTACATGTAAATAATAGAAAAGAGACTTGAGCATCTGAGGTTTTGGGTATCCAAGATGGATCTTAGAAACCAACCACCCCCCCAGAGATATGGAGGGACAACATTTGTCTCACAGAATGGTAGTGGAATGGTAACATGGTATGATATGGGGCCCTTGGCATAAGAACTGGCACTTCCTAAATGCTCAATAAAATAAAAGATGCTGGCTTTCTTACTGGGTTATTGTTTGTGTTAAAATCACCCTGAGAATATGATAGAAGCGTAGGAACAGAGGTCTCCACATCAGTAACATCTGGGAATGCAATGAAAAGGGCACATAATCCCTAAAAAGGTCCATAAAAAGCATAGAAGCAGCTAATATAACATAAAAGCTTTCATTTCATTTAGCAAAAACATTATCACTCCACAGAAGAACAATCTGAAGTACGGATTTATTCACTATTACATACCCAACCTAACTTGATTGGAGGGACTGGATTCTTAGTTTTGCTTTGGTTATTCCCTCAAACTTGGTAGAATCCATACCCCTCCCATGGACAGAAAATATCAGAGCATACATTCCAGACCCTGGGAAATAAATCAGTGTGCCCTCACCTCTACTTAAACCCCATCTTGTGAAAAATGGATGGCTTATTTATTGACTCAACATTTCCCCATCTGAAATTCAGTTCATGAACTAGGCAGTCACCTAAAGGTGATTACCACCACCTGAATGACAGCAGTTGTACTTCTAATGTCCAGACTAGGCAAGTCTACAGAGACAGAAAACACAGCGGTTGGCCAGGGCTGCAGGGGTTGGGAGGGAATATCGAATGACTGGTCATGAAAACAGGTTCTACTGGAGACAACAAAAATGTTCTCTGACTGATGATGATGATGGCTGCACAAACTGTGAATATACTACACCACTGAATTAGATGCTTCTAATGATCAAGCAATATAAGATAATAAATGTGAATTACATCTCAGTGATACCACTATCTTAAAAACTGTATGTCTGCTCCACCCATTTAGTCTGTCAGAATAAGGATTGTCTATTTCAAAAAGCAGAAGCCAAATTCAGAAGGGTATTCCCCAGGAACAAATCCAGAAATTGACTGTCAACGTGTGGAAACATGGTTCCCCAAAGCCAAACCCCTCAGACTAACAGCTTTTCATGTCTATGAAACCACATTCAGTTTGCCATCAAGTCCACAAGAGTCACACACGAAGACCACCTGTACTGGGTAGTTTTTGTGTGCCATCAGAGGAAAGAGCCTCAGCTGAGAAAATGCCTTGAGATCCAGCTGTAAGGCATTTTCTCATTTAGTAATCAATGGGGGATGGCGCAGCCCATGGTGCTATCCCTGGGCTGTTGGTCCTGAGTGTTATAAGAAGGTAGGCTAAGCAAGCCATGTGAAGCAAACCAGTAAGCAGCACTCCTCCAGGGCCTCCACTTCGGCTCCTGCCTCCAGGATCCTGCCCTGTTTGAGTTCCTGTCCTGACTTCCTTCAGTGATGAACAGCAATACTGAAGTGTAAGCCAAATCAACCCTTTCCTCCCCAACTTGCCTTTTGGTCATGGTGTGTCTCAGCAACTAGAAACCCTAACTAAGACACCATTGCATTCAGCAAGCTTGTTGTACAGACGGGGAGGCAGGCAGCCTCTTTCTCTGCGAGGGAAACCTCCTCTACCTATAAGTAATAGGAACAGAAGAGACACTGGGAGACTAACATGTTGTTCCTTTTCAACCTGTAGCATGTTCACTTCTCTTGACATAACCACAACTGGATACAAACATTACTACCCAAATGCTATGATTGTGTCCATCAGTGGCTAATACATACAATTGCTGGAGTTCCCAAGAGCTGACATGTACCTCTGCCCCTTTGGTTTTCATAAGCACCAAGTCCTGACAACCTTGAATGCTGGCACACTGTAGTATTGGTGAAATTAAGGGAGAGGTGCCAAGGGCCATGCTCCAAGTGTTGCTGTTAGTGGTGGCAGTTTTAGTCTGTTGTTTTAACATTCACTGTGTCTTTCAGTCTCTGAGAGGTCAGTGTGACCATTCCATTTACAAAGGAGAAGCTCAGACTTAGTAAGGTGCCCAGAGTCAAACAATTAATAAGCAGTGGGGTCAAGATTTGAACCCAGGAAACTCCAAAGCTCACCCATGCTCTATCATTTCTACAGAATGAAAAGGAAAACAAGACCTAAACACACAAAGCATCTTGGCTGAGAATGATCAGAGAATGAGAGAATAATCAAGCCAGTGAGAGGCAGGAGTCCTGGGTAACTGAGTACCACTCAAAAAAGATCAGAACAAATCACCATCAGTAACGACTGGGAATTGACAAGGCTCAACTGCACACCAAAGAGGACTCTCTAAATAGTAAGGTTTTCTTTCTTTAAAAAAAAATGTGTCCTGACATGCTTTGTTGCTTAGATTCTGTGTCTATACCAGGGATGGAGAAACCAGATAGAGTTCAAGGGTTTCGTTTTTATGGAGTTGTTTCATGGAGATTTTGGCAGATTCTGAAGCAAATTCAAAAAAGAAACACGAGAGAGGCTTGTGGTTTGGGCTAACCTAGATGACAACGTTGCTTTATTAAGTGGGGTTAAGTGCCATGTCTCTGGAATTTGACAACTTGTATTTGAATACCTTGAACTTACCTTGGACAGGTTACCGACTTCTTGGCTGCTTGGTGTCATCATTCACAAAGTAGAGGCAACATTAAAATGATGTAGACAAACTCTGCCAACTCCTGGAGGCCATGTCTATTACCTCTGATTATATATACAGACAAAGGAAATCTGAACCCAGAGATCTGTAGAAGTACTAGTTACAAAACAAAACCAGTGCTAACTTTATAACTGGACATAACTATGTATTTATTTTTAAGCTGTACTGGACAAACGCTGGCTTTTCATTAACAGTAATGATCTATTGAAGAAAATGACTATACTGGAACTAATATGGTGTACAAAGCAGCAGGTACCTCATGATAACTCAATACCTAAAATGATGTGAAAACTTGTTTTAAGAAGTCAGTGAGGTCGCATCAGTAACACGCTCTGCTGAAGCAGTAGTCAGTAGCAGCAGAGGGGCACAGTTAGTCCTCAAGTTGGATGAAGAAAGAGCAGTATACTGAGCTTAGCATCAGTCTTTCCAGCAAGTCACAGAGCCGATCCATCCCAACACTGCAATGGTTCTTAGTATCTAATGAATCCATGCTCCTCAGAAATAGGAGAAGGCAAATTGCTAGTCACCCAACACACCTTCCTCAGAGTCAATGCTCAGATATAAAATGCAAGTCCAAATTCTAGCAGGTCCGGTCCTGCAGGCTCCATTCTGGGCAAGAAGGATAGAACAGACTGGAGTTCAGCACTGCGAGAATTACATTTCTGTCTCAGACCATGCAGCTTCAAAAACTCTGGGCCAGTGATTCCCCAAGCCGGTGTTCTCATTTGCAAAATCAAAAGAGATACATGAGATTAACACACAGATAAATCATGGCTGCCACAGAGTATTGTGCCTCTGTAGCCACAGGGGCACCCAAATATCAGTGCTACATGCTGGTATCCAGGGCAATGCCCAGCAAACAGAAGGCATTTCTTATGTTTGCTGAGTGAAGCAGAGGATCGATTAAAGCTAGCCTGAGGTCTGTCATGAAGGTATGAAGCATGCCTTTAATCATAGCACTCTTGGGAGCCTGAGGCAGGATGATCATGAGCTTAGGCAAGTCTGGGGTACGAGGAAACCCTGTTTCCAAGAAAGAAAGAAAGCAGACATAAAGGTCAACCAAAATTTCCAGACCCAACTTCTAAGTGGACCCCAAATTTACATCAAACTAGAGGTCACTTGTTCCCAGAAACAAGGCAGGCCCTGATCTTTGACAGAAGAGTCTGTTCCTCCCCCTCAGGTAAGTCTCAGCCTCCTGCAGAGACTCTGCCCTGGAAAGCCTCCTGACGTCTGCCCTGTGCTTTTATTTCACCCCCAGAAGACTGGCACTTGCCCTGACATTCCATCCTCCCACTCTTCAATTTTAAAAGCAACAGGCTTACTCAGTGACATCTTGGCCCGTAAGCCCTTCTTTGAAGAACCATTCTGGAGACCATTCTCACAGCTTGGATCCTACTCTGGTGAGGCAACCACTCTTAGCTGAAAGATGTCATCCATTAGGAAACCCATCACAGAGACAGGAAAAGTAAAGAGTCGAAGACAATTCCCACTATCTGCCTCCACTTCCTGAGGATCAAAATGAAAAGATCGCCTGAACTATTTTTAAATGAACCCAATGAAAAGGTACCCTTCTCGCCCTTAGAATGCTCTAATTTGGCCACAAGGAGAAACTCGAGGCTTGCTCTGCAAAAGTTAGGTGGCATGAAAATTTTAACACACACACACCCCTCGTACCAAAAGGAGGAAGAAATTTTAAAATGGCTTCACAGACTCTCAGGGAACCTTTAAGATGAGCTTAAACTTCTCTTTTCTGAGCGAAGGCTGAGGACATCCCCTCTCAGCCTTTTGAGTTTTCAAGGATAGCCGAAGAGGGGGCAGGGGTAGAGCAAGGGAGCGGGAGAAGGAGAAAGACGGATGTGTTCGTTCTATTTTTAAACCTTCGCCCACAGTTTAGAGTAAAGGAACACTCTGGTTCTATACTCCCACTGCTGTCACCTTCTGCTAAGCACAAGAATCAAAACCTGCACACGTACACCGCACTGATCTATGTCGAGGGATTACTGTCAATGCTCCCAGGAATACATACAGCTAACCAATCCCTCCAACGCAGAGAGCCCAGCAGTCCGGACCAGGCTGGAGCTGTGTGCAGGGCTCCTGCAGAGCTCAAAGCAGTCACCACCCTCCCCTTCCCAGGGATGGGCAGCGCCCCCTCAGCATGCTCCATTCCCAAGCCTGGGCAACGGGTTGGGCACCTGGGGAGAGCCACTCGACCCCTACGGACACCGAGCTGTGGAAGCGTAGAAGCGATGGGTCTCCCAGCAGGCTACCGCCGACTGGGCGATCTGGCCCTCAGGCCAGAGACACCTGTGTCGAACACACCCACCCAGCCCAGAGTGCCACCCCGACCGACCACCTCCCGGCCGTCCCCAAATGCCGAGGCTGGGCGGCGATCAGACTCCTCCGAGGCCACTGACTCGCTCTTTTCGCAAATCCGTCTGGCCTCGGACGAGCATCGACACCCGTCACTCAAAGCCCCGGGGAGGGGGGACGAAAGCCGGCAGCGCGCGCGGGCAACCCGGAGCCAAATGCCGCCGCCGCCCCGAGCCCTCCTGCGCTGCTCCAGACACTTACTCTTGAGCGCGCTAATGAGCGACTTCCCGTCCTTGATGAGCTCCTTGATGAATTTGTTGGTCTTGTCCAGCTCCGCTTCGTGTGACTTGAGCGTCTCTCGGAAGTGCGGGCTGTCGAGGCAGCAGTCGCTGAACTCGAGCGCCGGGAGCCCCATTCTGCCCGTGGAGCCCAGCGGAGGGGACGCGCCTCGGGCGCTGCTCGGCGGACACCCGCGACGACGGCCGTTCCACAGGTGTGGCGCCGGCTCGCCCCGCGCGCGGGGTCAGAGGGAGCGGGAGACTCGAGACGGCAGCCGGGGACTCAGCCGGTCCGCGGGTGCTCGTGCGAGGAGCCACCGAGCGGCACGCGGGCTGGAGGCGCGGCGGCGGACCCTTGGCGGCGCCGGGAAGCGAACGAGCGCGGCCACCGCCTCCCCGCCTCCTCTGCGGGTTCGCTCCTCAGCAGCCTCGAGCGCCTTCTCACAGAAGCCTCGGCCGCCCCGCCGGCGTCCGGGGCGCCCGAACCTGCTAGCGATGACCTAATCCCCTGCAGGACCAATCAGCGGGCTTGCCTCTGCCCGACCCCCAGGGCCGCCCGGGGGACGCCCGGCCCTTCCGCGGTTCTAATCCAATCAAAGCTTTCTGAAGGCGGGGCCTGAGCATGGGGGCGGAGCCCACACCACCACTAGGTCCGCAGAGCAAGTCCCGCCCCCTCCCGCTCAGCGATGGTTGCAGAACTGGAGCTCCGGGCTGCATTCCGGGGTGGGTGCGCCCCCGCCACCCGAACCTGGCCCACCCCGTGCGGCCCTAATCCGAGCCTGAAATGAACCGTCTGCTAATCTAGGGAGCCGAAGAGCCTAGGTGTGTCAAGCAGGAAAAAATCTCGAATGAGAACTGCTGTTCGCCTCCGCCCACCCGACACTCCTGAGCATTCCTGCTTGCACTCAAATTACAACCCCTTGCCCAGGAGAACTCTGAGCGCTCGGAGCTCTGCACGCCGGGCTTCCAGTCAAGCAGAACGTGTTTGCTGCTTTAAATCACCAACTCTCCTTGCCTGCAGTCCTCTCGCCCCCTACTGTTCGTCCCCCTCGTGGCCACTCTGCTCAAAACCCGCCCACGGCTGCCCCCCACCGAAGGTCCTCACGTCCTTAGCAAGAATTTCAGCCACCTCGTTTTCCTGCTGCGTTCCTAGCACCATTTTACACAATTCTGTCCAATGTCTGTCGTCCTTCGCTGCTGCACAGCTTCACGAGGGCACGTGCCGCCGCAGTTCTTTGGTCGGGTGTTGCATTCCCATCGGCTAGAACAGAGACTAGTATTTAAGAACAGATAATGTGCACTGTGTGCTGCTGTACCTGATAAAGTATGTGTGTGTAGCCCATGAATGCATCCCTCTTCACCTTCAGGGTGACCACCCTCCCTGTGACCAATCACAGGAGTCAAAACTGACGAGAACTCGTTCAGTGCATTTGGTAGGCTGGGTCTCAGTGTCTAGAACTGAATGGTGAACAGTAGAGAATAGGGACTGTCTTTGGCTAAATTATTTCTGCCCAGTAACTAACAACACACCTTCAATGTGGGGAGGTGTTTCTTTGTGTTTTCAGTCGGTCTGCTACTGTAGACACAGGACTAGACTCAGGATAGAACCAGGAGCCCAGAAAGAACTTGACTACTTCTGTTCTGAAGGAGAGAGCCACAGCCAGGGAACAGCCTTGTTGCCTGATGTTAGGATGGAAGCCCTAGATGCTTGGAAACAATGGAGAAGAGTTTCAGACTCCAAAGTGTCAGAAAAAGAGTCCTTGTGTGAGAAATTAATTGATGTATTTATTGAATGAATGAATGAACGAATGAATGAATGTGATCAATTTCATAATTTGAAACAACAAAGCCAGGCTTGAGAGCAGGCCCAGATAGCAGATAAACAATAGGTAACTAGACCCTGAAAACAGTCATTCCTTCCTTGCTATGGATGAGAAAAATCTGGAATGGAAATTCCATGAAAGTAAATCCATTTATAAGGCTTATCTTGAGTACCTAAAGGTGGATATGCTGATTATCTATTGCTACATAGTGTATCACACAAAACTTTCAGCTTTAAGATGTTGACCATCCCTGTGAAGACTAGGGATCCAGCTTGGAGTCTCTACTGTGATCAGTCAGTGACAGACACTGGAGCAGTGGTTCATCATCTGGACTCTTGCCTCTCCTCAGGAAGACTGGAGGCTTCTCTGTGTGTCTTCTCTTTGACCTGATTTAAATTTCCTCAAAGCATGCAGCAAACAAGGAGAAGCCATCACCTTTAGTGACCTTACCATGAAAGTCACACCCTTCTACTGCCTTCCTTGGCTGCAAGCAAGAGTCACAAGTTCACACCAATGAAAATGGAGGGGATCCAACTGTACATCTATATAGAATGACATGAACAGGAAATAGTGTCCTGGCCATTTCTGAATAACACATTCTGCCATGGTAGGCCTGGCATATCGTGTAGTATTCAATAAATATTAAACGAATGAAACAAAATGAGACACATTATTATTTGTTTAATCTTGTTGAGAAATATTAGGCAAATATGCATTCAACAGTATATGTATGTATAAATAAGTGATACATTCACTGTCGTTTGTTCAGTTTGTGATAGGTACTGTTACACTTTTTGACGTGTAATTAATGTCTACAATGTACTATGTAGCCTGAACCAGTTAATGGTTCATCAGTCTGTGTGCCACAAATATACTAACAAGCATGTAAATTTATATAGGCATGTTACTGGAGTCCTAGGCTTCAGGTCTAATGCATGCCCTAACAAGTCAGCTCCTGCCACTTGCCCCTCTCCCTAATGCCCCCGCCCAAACATAAATAGAGAAAATGATGGGGGAGAAAAAATAGCTATTCCCAGAATAAGGGAGGAACAGACCTGTCTTCAGAGGTACTGATGAACTCTCGGATGACATAGAAAAGAGCCAAAGGCATTAGACAGGAAGCATACATAGTTAAACAAACAGCCTTGAGTGAACTGTGCTCCATTTGATCCTTATCTCAGGCATTAAGTAAATTGCTGTTGCCTGGGAGGTAGCCACAACTCCTGCCACAAAATGCTTCTCCATCAGCATCTGCTGACCCTAACTAGACTCCAAGGTGACCAGCAGCAAGGGAGATAACTTTTAATACTGTTTACATTTCCCCATTGGGCACCTCTGAGCTTCTGCATGCCCGAGTGAAGAGCTGGTACTTGCAGCAAAAGCAGCCCCTAAGTCTTTGTTACAGCCATTCACAAATATGTAAGTGTGTAGATAATAGATAAGAGTCTTGTAAATTCATTCTAGAGCCCTGGCAAATGACTTCCTACTCTTTTGGCAGTATTATGAATACAGCAATACTGAATATAAATTTTTGCACATAGAGGGTATGCCTGTGTCTTTCTTGGAAAGCAGGCAGGCCCCACAAGGAAGGAGACTTCAAAGACACAGACAGGTTTGCCAATAGGAGGAGTGCACAGGAAAGAGATATGAAAATAGATGAGAGATGTTAAGGTCAGCAATGACTTTCATATGAAAAAAGGAAACGACACCAGCCTAGAGCATCTCTGGCCATCGAGCTGAACCTCTGTTGCTGTGGGGTTTATTTGGTTGGTTCATTTGTTTATGTTTTGGTGGTTATGATGGTGGTGGTGGTGGTGGTGGTGGTGGTGGTGGTGGTGGTGGTGGTAATGGTGCTGAGCTGGTGCTGTGGATGGAACACAGACTATCGCCCTAAGCAAGCACTTTCCACTGAGTTCTCCTCAGTCACTATGTGGCTACATTCTCTAGGGACTCTCTCAGCTTCAATTTGTATTCAGAAAAATTAATTTTAAGTGGAACAGGCCCATAATCCCAGTAGGCTGAGGAGAATCTGAAGTTCAAGGCCTGCCAGGGCTACAGAATGAGTTCAAGGACAGCTCAAGGAAAGTACTGAAGCCCTGTCTCTAATTTTTTAAAAGAAGGATGGAGGGTCTTGGTGCTGTAACTCAATGGGAAAGTACTTACTTGTCTTGTATATTTTAGGGTCCTGGATTCATCTGTCCTAGTACTACAAAAAGAATTAGCCACAGAGAGTTTGCTTCCTAAGACTGCAGCAGGAGTGATAAAATTGAAGCCAAGGATAGAACAGATCCCCTACAAACACATGGAGCACTGGGGAATTGGTGCCCCCTCGCCCCCCCACACCCTCCCATACACATACAGCTAAGCAAGGTGCTGTGATGGGAGATGGAGGGGCTTGACACTGCACAGGCAGATGCAGCAGTGTGCAGTACTCACGACTCTTCATCAGCCCCTCCAGATCAATTCTCCTACCACTGCATTCCCATGGTTTCATGATTCTAATTTGCACTTACTGTTTTTATGGCCAATGTCCTATGTATCTTCTCTTTGGGATTGTGGATAAGACACTAGTGTTCTGATTTTTAAATAATGATTATTGGTTGATGTAAGTGTTCTGTATCTCAATTACGATGATGGTTACATGAACATAGTATTTGTTAAAATTTATGGACCATTTTCATACATACAAATTACACATCCTTATGTGTAGTAGAAACAGTGTCAAACACTTCATTACATTTCATTTAACATTCATTACAATCCTGAAAAGTGGATATTATTATTATCACTATTTTACAGATAAGGGAAACTGAGGTACTATCCCCATTTTACAGACAAGAAAACTGAGGCTTGGAGAAGTAAGATATCTAAGGTTTCACAGCTTACTAGTAGAGCTTAGCTCAAGCTTAGAATGTATCTCTCAAAAACAAACAAACAAACAAAACCACTATCTCCATACATATGCCTGTAACAAAGGTAATCACACCTTGAAATGGGTGTTGTATAACAGTTTCCTCCCTGACTGAAACATTCCATCCTGCAGGAAGGCTCTTTAAGCAGAGAGGTAAACAATTCAAAATAGCTTCAAGAAGTCCTTGAAACTCACCAGATTCTCTAGGCCCCATCCTCTCAGAATAAGCAGTAAAGCTGCTGAGGGTCACTCTCAGATGAGCCACGCTGCAAAGAAGACTCTGAGACCAGACCAGCTGCCTGGAAAAAGCAGAAACCAGCCAAGCTGCCTAGAAGAGGTTTAGACCACCTAAATCACTTGGAAGGGACACTCTCCTACTTGTTGAGATGTCTGTAGGTTGTGCAGTGTGCTCAAGGTTCCCAGATTTTGTGTGCTGCCACCTATACCAGGGTGGGCTTTGGTGATGCAGCTGTCTTTGAATCATTTCTGCTCCTATCGGTGACCCTTCACCCATATATTCTTACAAATAACCCCAATAAAACTCATTGGTTTCACCAAGTTGGACTTTGGTGATATTCGTACTTTGGTCTGTCATGGACTCCTATCTGGGGTGAGTAGAAATGTGTGTGGCGTCTCCCCAGGAAAAAATTGTCATATAACAGGTGTTTCCAGACTTTATTTTGTATTATATCCCAGACATATCAAAAATTACATATGCCTCCATGGAGAAGATTGCAAATTGATCCATATCTGTCACCATGCACAAAACTTAAGTCCAAGTGGATCAAAGTCCTCAACATAAATCTAGTTACTCTGAACCTGATGGAAGAGAAAGTAGGAAGTAGTCTTGAATGCATTTGCACCGGAGATCACTTCCTAAATATAACACCAGTAGCATAGACACTGAGAGCAACAATCAATCAATGGGACCTCTTGAAACTGAGAAGCTTTTGTAGGGCAAAGGACACGGTCAACAAGACAAAATGACAGCCTACAGAATGGGAAAAGACCTTCACCAACCCCACATCTGACAGAGGGCTGATCTCCAGAATATATAAAGAACTCAAGAAATTAGACATTAAAATACCCAACAGTCCAATTTAAAAATGGGCTATGGAGCTAAACAGAGAATTCTCAACAGAAGAATCTCAAATGGCCGAAAGACATTTAAGGAATTGCTCAACATCCTTAGTCATCAGGGAAATGCAAATAAAACGACTCTGAGATACCACCTTATACTGTCAGAACGGCCAAGATCAAAAACACTAATGACAGTCTATGTTGGAGAAGATGTGAAGCAAGGGGAATACTTCTACATTGTTGGTGGGAATGCAAACTTGTAAAACCACTGTGGAAATCAGTATGGCGGTTTCTCAGAAAATTGGGAATCAATATTCAAGACCTAGCTATACCACTCTTGGACATATACCCAAGGAATGCTCAATCATACCATAAGGACACATGCTCAACTATGTTCATAGCAGCATTATTTGTAATAGTCAAAACCTGGAAACACCCTAGATGCCCCTCAACTGAAGAATAGATAAATAAAATGTGGTACATATATACAATGGAGGACTACTCAGCAAAGAAAAACATGAGGTTTGCAGGCAAATGGATGGAACTAGAAAAAATCATCCTGAGTGAGGTAACCCAAACTCAAAAAGACAAACATGGTATGCACTCACTCATAAGTGGATACTAGATGTAACGCAAAGGATAACCAGACTGCAACTCACAATTCCAGGGAGGCTACCTAGTAAAGAGGACCCTAAGAAAGACACAGGGATCGCCCAACAAGAGAAATGGATGAGATCTACATGAGCAAACTGGGGATGGGGAGGCAATGGAGGGCAAGGGTCGGGGGAAAGAGAGCTTAGGGGAGCTCGAGGTTCAAGCTGGAATGGGAACAGAGTGGGAGAACAAGGAAGTGATACCATGACAAATGAAGGCACCATGGGAATAGGGAGAAGCAGAGTGCTAGGGAGCTTCCCAGGAATCCACAAAGATGACTCCATAGATTACTGGCAATGATCGAGAGGATACCTGAGCTGACCTACTCTGGTGATCAGATGGTTGAATACCCTAACTGTTATCATAGAACCCTCATCCCGTGACTAATGGAAGCAGATCCACTGCTGGGTCCCAGGCGGAGCTCCAGGAGTCCAACTGACGAAGGAGAGGAGGGATTCTATGAGCAAGAGATATGGAGACCATGATTGAAAAAAGTACAGAGACAACTAGACAAACTAGTGGAAACACATGAACTGTGGACCAATAGCTGAGGAGCCCCCATGGTACTGGAATAGGCCCTCTGGATAAGTGAAACAGTTGTTTAGCTTGAACTGTTTAGGGGGCCCCCAGGCAGTGGGATCAAGACTGGTCCATAGTTCATGAGCAGGCTTTTTGGGGCCTACTGTCTATGCTGGGACACTTTGTGCAGCCTTGGTGCAAGGAGGAGGGGCTTGGACCTTCCTCAACTGAATGTACCAGGCTCTGCTGACTCCCCATGGGAGACCTTGCCTTGGAGGAAGTGAGAATGGGGGGTTTGGAAGGAAGGCTGGGGGGTGGGAGGAAGGAAGACAGGGGAATCTGTGGTTGGTATATAAAATGAATAGAAAATCTCTTAATAAAAAAAAAAGAAAATTGCACATGCCTCTGTCTAGGCTTTAAATGTGAGAACTTACAATTTGTATAAAAGCAACTGATGAAAGAACATGAAATCTTCATTTTCCTGGAAAGAAAAGTTAAATCCATCTCGATAATGCTATTGGCTGGCTCATAGTTCTTTAAGTGAAGTGACAGCATTTGTGTAACATTTTTTTCCTCAAGAAATTAATGACTCATACTATGTACAGCATGTCTGCTAATTTCTATCTAATGCCCATTAGTCATTTATTGAAAAAGCACTCATATACTTCAGCTATGAGCTAGGCCCAGTTCTAGATACTTGAGAAATATTAACCCAGTCTCCTACCAACCCTCCTACCATCTTCTGTTCATGTTACAGAGGGAACTGAACTGAACTACCTGGAGTCACCTGACCAGTGAGTGGCAGAACAGAGAATCTTCCTGGGAGTCTATCTCCACACTGCCTGTGTTGATCACAGAACTCTGATGTGTCCAGCTAAAGCAGTCATTTGCTTAGGCTTTTGAGTAATCATGGTCTTTTGTCTCTTTCCTGATGATATAAGTAATCCCAATAAACGTGCTGGTTCATTACATTGGACTTGGTAGAATTTGTGTGTGTGTGTGTGTGTGTGTGTGTGTGTGTGTGTGTGTGTGTGTGTGTGTGATAGCCCTATCTGAAATAGACATTTTTTTTCACATTCACCAGGAAAAGTCACACAATAAGGTAGTACCCAGGTTTATTGAAAAATCCTGGTTGGGAGAAAACAGGGCAATACTTCAAGGGACAAAGTATTCTTTGATCCGTCTTGCCTGTGGAGAGGTAGGACATGAAAAGAACAGTAGTGGGATAATGGCCCTGTGTCTACACACCCGGCCCATAGGAGATGTCTGCCAGGCGAGGAAGCAGTGTGACGGACTTCTTTGATTTGTGACCTTACTCCTCTTTGAATCTCTTTTCCAGAATGTCCCATGATCCTGTTTCTTTTAACCTTGTTGTTTTGCCTTTCTTTTTCTCTTTCGTTTTTGTGATAGGGTCTTGCTGCGTAGCCCTGGCTGTCCTTGAACCATCGATGGCATCGGTTCTCGGGTTCTCAACCTGTGGGTCGTGACCCCTTCAGTAATCCTCTGTCTTCAAAGTGTTTACATTACAACTCCTAACAGTGGCAAAATTACAGTTATGAAGTAGTAATGGAAATAATTTTATGGTTGAAGGGTCACCACAACATGAGGAACTGTATTAAAGGGTCTAGATAAACCAGGCTGGCCTCGAACTCGCGGTGAGCCACTTGCCTCCCCCTCTCAAGTGCTGAGATTGCAGGCATGTGCTACCGTACACCGGCATCATCATTAGATTTCGATTATCCAATGCTCATTTTTGGAGAAATTTGACTTTAAAACCATTTTTTCACACTAAAGCATTCCATCACCAGCATACTTTTATTTTCCCACTTAAAAGCTAATTTTTAAAACATTTTGACTTTTTTTAAGCTTATTTGTTCATTTTTTTCCTCTCCCCACCCCCTCCCCCCAGTTCACCCCCTTTTCCCCCCACCCCGCCCCACTTTGTTTTGCGCTTTGTTTAGTTTTCCCCAGAGCTGCTCCGATGAGCTGAGCTAGTCCAGAAAGGAGTTCATTTGCTTTGATCCTGTTGAAAAGAGAAAAACAATGACAATATGATGACTTTCTCATGAAACTAAGTATATTCCATTTGCAAGAGAGTTTGGGGTTTTGGGTTTGGTTTGGGGATTATATAATGTCCATGTGTTCGGCATTAGTAAACACATCCCTTTTTAAATGAGATAATGAATGAAGAAGGTAGCTAGTTTTAAAAAATATTCTTTATGGAGAGACGATTCACCCATTAAGAGTGCTTCCTGCTCTTTCAGAGGACCCAAGTTCAGTTTCCAGTACCCACCCACGTCAGGCAGTTCACACCAACCATTAACTCCAGTTTCTTCAAGAGATCCAGTATCCTCTTCTGACCTCAGGCAGCACCCACACACACATGGTACACACACACACACACACACACACACATCTTTAAAAATTCTTCAGAAAAATTAGCATTAATGTTATTTATCATTCCAACTCTATTTGTTCTTTGTCTTACTGTTGACTCAAAAGTGTGAAAAAGAGCTCAGACTCCCGGGTGTTGTGCTGGCCCTGCCCTGTGATCTGCATCAGAAAGAGCAAGAAACCAGGACAGCTTCACAGACTAGGCCAGTGGCCAGCAAACTTCTCCCATAAAGACATGGAAGGTCCAGCTCTTCCATTAAACTTACTCAACTCCGACACCGAGGCATGAAACCAGCCACAGATGATATGTAAATGAATTAGCACAGTGGCTGTCTTCCAATAAGCTTGGGGACACTGAAATTTTAACTTCACACAATTTTTATGTGTCGCAAAATAGTCTTCTTGTTTGGTTTTTTGTTTTGTTTTGTTTTAAACCATTTTAACATGCAATAACCACTCTTAGTTCCCAGAGCATACAAAAGTAGGGACAGACTGGAACCAGTCCATGGCCATCTTTTGTTGATCTCTGGTTTAGTCAAATAAAAGAAAATGGACCAATGATATAGCAAGGTGTTGTGAGTGACTGTCCTCTGAGCCAATAAATGCCTATCTTGGGGAGTTTAATTGGCCCCTTTGCAAAAGGATCATCCCAGTTGGGCTTCTTGACTAGAGGGGTGGGGAGGGTCATAAGACCCTCAGCTGAGTATCCAGCTGTTCCCTACTACCTGTTGTATACAATGCTGCCTTTAACTGCACATGGTCCAGGAAGCAGCTAGATCAGTGGTTCTTAACCTTCCTAATGCTGCGACCCTTTTTTTTTTTTTTTGGTTTTTTGAGACAGGGTTTCTCTGTGTAGCTTTGCGCCTTTCCTGGAACTCACTTGGTAGCCCAGGCTGGCCTCGAACTCACAGAGATCCGCCTGGCTCTGCCTCCCGAGTGCTGGGATTAAAGGCGTGCGCCACCACCGCCCGGCGATGCGACCCTTTAATATAGTTCCTGATGGTGTGGTGACCCCCAAACCATAAAATTATTTTTGTTGCTACTTCATAACTGTAATTTTGATACTGCTATGAATTGTAATGTAAACACTTTTAAAGACTGGGGTTTTGCCAAGGGGGTCGAGATCCACAGGTTGAGAACCACTTGGCTAGAGTATATAAGTCTGCATGGGGAAGGGGTTCCATCTATGCAACTACAGGGAAGCCCTCATCCCTGCTGAGGAAAGGCTTTCCATGTGTGATCTGGAAAATAAGGTGAGGGAGGAACACCCACACCCATGTAAGCAACCCCTCTCCTGTGCTCTTTAAAGAAGCCTACAAACTCATTGGTTTCCTCAGAATGAACTTTGGCAGAATTGTGCCTCAGTTTGTTGTTGGGACCTTAGGAAAAGGAGTAGATGATGTGGCTTGCGTCTTCCCCTGGGAAGGAATTTTAGCAATCCAAGGCCAGGTACAGATTCCAGTCTTTGAGTGCCTTTGAGGAAGGCCTATTTCACATAGCAGCATAGCTTGGTTTTCTAGATATAAATTAGAAAAGCAATTAACATCTAGTCCTAATTATTTTTAATGAGAGGAATGATAAATGACAATGAGAAACTGTTTAACAACCAAAAAGCAACAAATGATACACATGAGTATAATAGGGAAAAGTAGAAAATGTGTCTACTGAGGTGATTTAAAAGATCCAATTTCCTATTTTTTCCAAAAACAATCACATATGCAGAAAAGTGGGTCCACTGACTAGCAAAAGATCTGGTGTCCACATATGTCCAGGTGCATAGGAGCCAGAGGACAATCTGAGATGACATCTCACGAGTACTATCTACCTCCTTTGAGACAACTCCTTCCTTAGCCTGGATCTAATCATTTTAAGATAGATTGGCTAGCTGCCACCCAGTCCCGAGTATCTCACTGTCTCTCCCCCACCCCCAATGCTGGAATTACAAGTGTCTGCCAGCATGCCCTACATTTTCAAGTGGGTTCTGAGGCTTGAACTCACTCAGATCCTCATGATTGTGAGGCAAGCACTGGCCACCTGAGCTATCCTCCAGCCCTATCCTACTCACAACAGATTATTTTTGAGCTAAGCTCAAAGGCTTATAGAACTGCTGATCCATGATTCTAAAGAAATAAAGCAACAATGTCAATCACATTGTTTTTAAAGCAAAGTCGTATAATAAAAAGAGTTTTAACAAAAAGAGTTTTAGAACATTACATTTGAATGTTGCCTTTCATACTTAGAGACTTTAATTGTGGGTAAGTTACTAAAGTTTCTGAGTCTTTACATCTTGATTTTCAAGGGTAATAATCAACTGAGAGTTCATACAGTTATAATCAAGAAGTAAAATAATATGCAGAGAGGCTTGTCAGGTATATCATAGATGCTGTGGTAGTTTGAGTGAAAGTGACCCTCATAGGCTCATAGGGACTGGCACTATTAGGAGGTGTGGCCTTATTGGAGTAGGTGTGGCCTTGTTGGAGGAAGTGTATCACTGGGGGTGGGCTTTGAGGTTTCAAATGCTCAAGCCAGACCCAGTGTCATCTTCTCTTCCTGCTGCCTGCTGATCTAGATGTAGAACTCTCAGCTTCTTCTCCAGCACCATGTCTGCCTGCATGCTTCTCACTACGACAATGGACTAAGCCTCTGAACCTGTAAACCAGCCCAATTAAATGCTTTCCTTATTAACAGTTACCATGGTCATGGTGTCCCTTCACAGCAAATAGAAACCCTAACTAAGACAAATGCTCAGTGAAAGGTGGGCTTGGTGACACATGTCCATAATCCCAGTACTCAGAAGACTGAGACAGGAAGATGACCACAAGTTTGAAGCTTAAAACCCTATCTCAAAAGAAAAAATTCTTGCCCCTCAAAATGACCAGTGAGCCAGGTGGTGGTGGCGTATGCCTTTAATCCCAGCACTCGGGAGGCAGAGCCAGGTGGATTGCTATGTGTTCATATGTGTTCGAAGCCAGCCTGGTCTATAGAGAGAGATCCAGGACAGGCACTAGAACTACACGGAGAAACCCTGTCTCAACCCCCCCACCCAAAAATGACCAATGAACAATTTGCATTATTATTAAATAAAATTCTAGAATTTAACCATTTACCACAGCTTTAAAAAAAAAATCTTGAAAAAATCTTTTTTTTTTTTTTTTTGGTTTTTTTGAGACAGGGTTGCTCTGTGTAGCTTTGGTGCCTGTCCTGGATCTCGCTCTGTAGACCAGGCTGGCCTCGAACTCACAGAGATCCGCCTGGCTCTGTCTCCCAAGTGCTGGGATTAAAGACGTGTACCACCACAGCCTGGAAAAAAAACATCATTTTTATACTGAAATAAGTAATGAAACTAAAATATTTCACTCTTATAAAAATAGTTTTATCTTTACTGGCTGAAATAATTTGCTTAGATGTCTATTTATAACGTTCTTGGAAAATGACACACATTTTCACCTATGGGTGGTATTTGACACAAGTAAAGCAGATTTGTCATTGAAATGCCCCAAAGATTATTCTTCTATACAGACAGTCTAGAGTCTATAAACTTTGTTTCTTTTCTGTAAATAAGTTGGTAAAGATGAAGAATATATTCTTTATTTATTTGTGTGTGTGTGGTATTTGGGGGGCGGGGGCAGGTTTTGCATAACCCAGGCTGGCCTTAAGCTCCCTTGTAGCCTTGACTATCTTGAACTCATCCTTTGTAGTTCACGACTACCCTTGAACTACCATGACTACCCTTCCTGCCTCCACCTCACAAGTGCTGAGATGAGAGGCATGTGCCACCACACCTGAGAGAATGTAGCATTTAAAGGCTGTAGTTAGAGCATCATTATCTTGTCTCTTTCAGAGTAATACTAAAAGCATCATAGTAAGTGTCAGACAGAGCTGGTCTTCAACTACAACTCTGCTAATTTATGTCTATGTGACCTGGGGCAATTAATCTAAGTCCCTGGTTTTTGTAAATGTAAAATGGGGACAATAATCTGGCCTTTCTCAGACAGTTGTATGAAGTTTCAATGATAGATGCTCATAAATTGCTACTTGGATCAGTATTTTCAAGTGTTATATTTGAAAAAAAAATGCTAGCACAATGAAATGGCAACTAACCACATTATTGGAGGATGAATTTTGATAACTTTCAGTTCTCTTTTGTTTCCTTGAATGGAATTAGATAAATTTTAAAAGAACTGGATCATACTGTGAATAATGAAGTTTGGTGCTCAGATAAAAGTAGAATTGGAGGTAGATGTCATTGATTGTTCTAGTAAGCTATGAGCTGTAAGAACCAGGAACAGGATCCATTTAGGATGCTAAAAAGATTTGCTCGGTATTCTGGAGACATTGGGATGTAACCCATCAGACATATCCTCCTGCCTTCTCAATTGAGCCCCTTGTTCACAAAGACAAGTTAGATCTATGTACTGCGTGGATGCAGATGTACCATCAGCACCAGAACAGCGCCCATGAATTGTCAATT